CCCCCCCTTCCGCCCCTCCCCCGCTTTCCCCTCACCGCTTCCTCACCTTCACCTTCCTTTTTACTCTCTCATTTAATCCACATCACTTTGTATGCATTCGTACAATTTTGCTAAAGCAACATCGGTGTTTTGCATTTTTAGGATCGATTTGCTCTCGCATATGCTAACGCTGAGCGGCATTCATCATGGGTCCCGTTGTCTTGTCTTCGAGCAATGTTTGGGTTTGTTGACGTGCGCTGCGCTGACACGTCTCGGTGGTTCCGGGGCTTGCATCCATTTGCATCGGGGCAATATCGCCCAATCACTACCATGCATTGATAGTATGGATTTTGATGAAACGGTTTGTTTGAAAGAATTTTGTTTCTTTTTTTTTTGAAAAAATAATTATTCAGTTACATATTAATTATTCCATTAAATAATCATCCTTTACTTGCACTACTTTTGCACGTGGACTATCTAGGCGAGTATAACTTTTTTGATATAAAAAGTCAAAATCCTCTCTGTGTTCGCATTCTATGATCAAAAAAAAAAATCTATGATAGACGGAGACGCTCAGAAAATTTCCCGAGCGATAGAAAATATCGAAAGCGACCAGTGACCACTGCCGAGGCTTTCGATGGTTCCCTTTTTCGAGGGTTGCTTACAAACAAGCTGATGGCGGGTTTGACTCTCGAGCCTGCACCAATAACAATTTACCACCGAAACGAAGGAACGAATCGTAAAAAAGATCGGTTGTCTCATTAAGGGAGTTGAAACTTATTCCTGTTGCATTGTAACTTCTCAATATTTTACAGAGTTTTTGATAGTTTTTAGAAATTTTTATATTTCGGATGAACTTGAAGTTCACTCGCTTTTTTTTTATGTAAAATGTATTTCCAGATAATGGCAGTGTTTATGCCTTTGCGTATATCGAGTCTGTTGAAAGGATCAGTGGATGAGAGTGGCGATACTGGTACTGCTGCTATTTCTGCTGCATCTGTAGCTGATTCAGGAGATGATGAAGGAAGCAGTGAACAGGCGGAAGTTTGTTTGCCAAGAAATGAGGAGCAAGATATGCAACAGAGTGAGGGTGATGGAGACACGGAAATGGCTGAAGATACAGGAACGGTTGGTTCCCCTAATCGACGCGCAATTTTTATAAATATCAATATCAATAATAAAAATTGGCCAACGCACGGGCTGCCCGTGCGAAGATGCGTTTTTTGCATGGTTCCCCG